GTGGAAATAGAGAATGTTCTGCAGATGAAAGAGTGCAGGTGTGAGAGTGGGCGGGAGAGCACTTGAGGTTACACTCAATCTTTATGTTCATAAAACCTCATAAAACAAACCTTTGACCAGACATCACATGTATTTGAGTATCATTTATGACCTTATTTTTACCTATTCTTTTATGATATGCTTCGGCGTCTTTTTTCTTTCCCATTCATAAAGTGTACGTCCTTCGATTCCTATTAGACAGCTTTAATGTCTGTGTGAGGCCTGAGTCCCCCTCACATACTGTAGCTGTTTGATACGAACAATTCTTAAAACAATACATTTTGACGGATACAAAAACCCGTCCTTCGATTGCAATTTTCTTTTTTTTCTTTTTTTACATCTACAGTATATACGATTATGTTTGAGCTTGAATCTATTTGGTTTATTTAACATACTTGACAAAAAACATGGCCTTACATGTATCTCTCTCTGGTCTCTCTTTCCGGCCTCTCTCTCTGGTCTTCCTCTCTGGTCTGTCTCTCTGGTCTCTCTCTGCTCTCTATCTGGTCTCTCATTGGTCAATCTCTGGTCTCTTTCTGCTCTCTCATCGGTCCCTCATTTGTCTCTCATTGGTCAATCTCTGGTCTCTCCTGGCCTCTCAATGGTCTCCCTCCAGTCTCTCTCTGGTCTCTCTCGTAAAAAATTTAAAGTTGCCAACTTATCACAAAAGTAGTAGGTACTTAATTCTCTCCATAAGGAAATGTGTCTTTGGCATTTGATCTATACGGCAGTACGCTCGGGCGACCTGTCAGGAGCTGTGGTCGCTACATCTCCAGATGCTCGGCTTAGTGAGGACTCCTACGTTACTGGAGGAAATTCCTCTGGAGCATGTTTTTGGGTGGTGAAGGAAACAGGAGCACCTGGAGGAAACTCATGAAACACAGGGAGAAACATTCAGAAAGTCCAGAGTTGGGCACGGGATTCGAACCTGCAAACATAATGCTAACATGATTCATCATCACATGAATATTTGAACTCACAAATGCTTCACATAAGTGTTATAGATGTACAAGTATACTGTATATTTCTTTCTAGAGTATAGAGTTTTATACCTTTTGTGTGTAAACTTTTTATTATTCTTTGTTTCTTTCTTATCAAGCTAAAGATAAAGGTTTTTATTTTATTTTTTTATTTCAAGAACTTAAAGAGTGCTGATATACTTATTATTCATCTTGTGTTGTGTGCTCCTCATTCCTACTGGTCTGTAACTTTTGACAGATACAAAAACCAACCAGATCTGCTGAACATATAACGACGCTGTCCCTTAAACCAGAGCACTTCTTCTTTTTAATGTTTGTCCAGCTGCAGTTTTCTTTCAAACTCTCTTCACCACAACCTTAAGCGTGCATGTACAATGTTTGATCTCAAAAAACTGTACTTCACGATACAGTCGAGGCTTATGAAATTGCTTTTGGGCATTGTGCCTCGTAAATCCTATGGCTCTTATTGGATTTGGGGTATAGGTCCGGAGGGGTCCCACAGTGCACTGCTTTCAGGTTGCTATGCGTGTTAGAGAGACACGGGGGCCTGTAAATGACTGCCCGTAATCAAGCCTATAAAAGTGCAGCTGCCCATAGGATCAGTTCAAAGTGTGGCTGCTGTACTTGGCCCCCATCCACTCTTTAAGATTCAGGTGAAATCCTGAATCCGCCAGTGGTTTTTAAGGCCTTCAGCGCGGGCATGTTCAAGCTGTCTGTGTGTATAGTGCACTCTGCTCTGATTAAGTACAATCCATATCACCATACCACCGGGCCCTAGGAATTTGCACACCTTTGCCCATGGGAAATTTGCACCTGATTCACTCTCCAGTTATAAAAGCCACGTCTAATAGGGAGATTACAAGACAGCTATCAAATCACACAGTGAGACAAGCCACTAATGGTATCAACTTTGTCATTACAGCGGCTGATGAGCTAGTTTAGTCTACGCTAGGCCTTTAAGTTGGTTCTCCTAATGCTTGCCTGAGGAGTGGGGAGGAGAGCCTTTAGTAGTCTACAAAGGCCTTCTATCTGTGACTCATATATACAGTATACAGCGTCTGGGTGGTAAACCATGAGGAGGTTGCTTTTTGTTTCACAATAGAATGTCCATGTCTCTCTATTTCTGCTTAGATACATGAGATTGAAAAGGAATGTCCGAAAAATAAAAGCTTCTATTAAGTTGAGAGCATGTTGCGGTCTGATTTGTTCACAAAATGTCACTTAATGTCACTTAACCAGGATTCCATCTATTAGGACAAGCACCATACAGTATATTTGTGAAACAGAAAGGTTCGGTGTACTCCAGCTTTAAGTAATGGGTTTATTCACTTTATTGAGTATGTTTACCTAGAGATAGCGAGTGTATTGTAATGCTAAAATATGATCATTGGTCTGGCAAAAGACATGATCATGTTATCACAATTACAAAGTGCTGAATGTAATGAAATCATCCCTGAAGAATGGGAAGCTGAGTTTTGAGAAAAGATAGGACGAAGCCAGTTGGGATGGTTTTTTGAAAATGCTATACATGTAAAATAATAATGTGGTCAAAACAACTTCTGATACGGCTGGATATTTCTATTTCTAATGGAAACTATAAACAGTAAAGTTAGAGCTGATTGTATGTTTAAATCATAATACAAATATATGACATTGTGTGATACATGCATGTCATCACAGCAAAGCACTACTGTACACTGTTAAAACCTAAATCGTCACTGTGAAATGTGTCCAAGTACATACATTTTGACCTAAAACCCAACTCATTCTGCCAAGACAAAACAACTTGGCAGCCATGTGTGTGTGGGCGTACAGGGAATACCTCTCTCATACAGCCTCTTCTGAACTCTTTGACTTTATAGCTTATTTTTTACAGTCATCCATAAACGCATTTAACAAGGATAATCTTGGTAGCAACACACAGCCCAGTTGCCAGTAAACACGCTCTTAATTGTTCTCTTCGCACAACAAAAAGGTAAATAAAGAGCCATTCCCACATTGCAATAGTTATTTTTGCACCTTGCCCTGTGGTCATGTTTCCCTTTGAGTCCCCTTTTCCCACCGTGCCACAGAGATGAATCATTTGTCTCAGTGAGAGGCAATTGCATCATCAGGAGCATGACCTGTGATGTAACTATGACAACGCAGTCACCACTGGGGGCCCATGATGCATCTGCAGACGACTCACTCATTCTGTCGTTGTGTCACTTCGTATGGAGGCTGCAGGTAAGTCACCGGAAAATTATTAATAGTACAATGGGAAAGTTAAGATCAAGTTTACAGAGAAAGTCTGTCACCATACAGCTCTTAATCATCAAACATGTAGAAACTTTTACATGTTTGATGTTTTGCCTTTTCTGAAAAAGAGATGGCATTTCCTTCTTAATAAAGATTCAATTGAGGACTTTATGCGATTATAATGAATGAGTAAAATATCTTTGGTCAACTCTAAGCTCTGAGAAATTATATTCTTTTGTATCTAGATTGATTTTCCAAGGTGCTCTAAAGCCAGTGTAAAGGACAAGGTGGAGTTCGGACCACCTGGGAGACTGACCTAAGGCTTCCTGCAGCTTCACCCCTGAACGAGTGCTCGGCCTGTCTGTGTCGCTACTCCTCAGGTACTTCTCCTTTATCGGGCCCTGGGGCGAGGGACCTCCCAGAGGACAGACACACAGCACAAGCTCAGAGACTTCAGGACAAGCCAGGGCAGGCGGAGAGTTAACCTGCTCTTAACTAGTTGCTTCCTGTGGCCTCAAGTCATCTCCAAGCTCTCTGTACTAAACACTATGTAAACCCAGAGGAAGGATTCCATGTATAGGCTGATGTTTGTTCATGAATTGAATGTAATTAATAAGTTAAATTATGTTTTACCTTTTTAAAGACAACTCACTTTTATCTCTCTGTGAAAGTCTGGCCTAAAAGATAAGGATGCATTGGTTTTATAAAGCATGTTTTATAAATACATATACTCATGCATACAGCCAAAGCCACCATACTGTGGCACCAGTGTTCCCAGTGGCCTCCCATCACAGTACTAACCAGGCTATGTCCTGCTTAGCATATGAAGTCTGCCAGACCAGGCTTTCACATGCAGGTGGCGCCACAAAGATTTGAAATAAGAGTTTTAAATAGGTCAGGTTGTAAATGAATAGTGGTAGTTGCTAACAATACATATTAATCTCTATCAATCATCTGGGACTCTCTTATTGGGTCATGTTGCTGCGGGCGGAAATACAATCGTTTATTTGCTCTTTAGAATCCTATTTCATCACCATCTTGTTCAGTGAATTAACAGTTATTTCAACCCAAAAGCCTGAATGGGATCCCTCCTGACAGGCACCCTGACTAAAAGGGGGATGGGAACATAAGTCTCAACATCTAAACAGCCAACCAGATTCCCTTGCTCACTGAATAGATGCAAGAACTCGGAGCGGCGAGGGGAGGCGCAACGGCCGCGGAGCTGCCTGGAGCTTGTCTATATCCAGTGGCTGAGAGGCGCTCGCTCCTCATTCACACCAGAGCATTCACACACGACCTGTGACCACTGCAGCAGGAGGATATCCCAGCACGGACAACTTTTCTGCACACTCAGCCTGCTTTTCAGAGGATCTTGCTCTTTTGGATTATACAATTGTAGAGCAGCAAGGCCGTGCGTAAAAGAAGAACTGCGTCAGTTTGACTTCTCCAAATCTTTTATTCGAAGGTGAAGGACAAGTGCAATGCGCGTCCCAGCTCTCTTCAGGGATTGTCCCACTCCGAGGAGCTTAGAGCTTTGATGTGAATCTGTCTCCCAGACTTCAAGCCACTTCATTCTGAGACTTAAACAAGTGCACAGAGGAGCGTGCAGCGTGAGCCTGGAGCTCTGACACATTTCTCTCCCTGAGGGGATGGTTGTGGATCCTCTGGGGCGAGGAGCAACTCTTCGGCTCCTACACATCAGCGCCGTTCTCTTGCTCGTGGTTACAGCCAAATTAAAGGGAGATGAGAGCCGCAATTAGTTGTTTCCTTGTGTGGACCACGTACCTGCTGCTGGCCGGCGCGGAGGTAAAGTTGGGAGCCTGGCATTGCCCTTTAGCTCCATTTGCTCAGCTTTATCGGCGCTGCAGTGATTGTGCACATTCAACTCTTTTGCCTGTCAACTCTTCGTCGTAAAATTAGATTTAATGGCATTTATTTTGAGTTGGTTATATTTAGTATCTGTTTAAGTCTACTTGTTTTCGTTTTTTCAAGAATGAGCAGTATTTGAGGTCCAGTTACCATTAGGGCCAATGCGCGCTCGTTGCGCACGCATAGCCAAGTTATTTTTGGCTTTTGTGCCAAAACTGTTTGTAGCTCTCCAGCCAACGCTGTGCAAACGTTTTGGTAAGCACTTTCATGGGAACTGCTACGGCGAATTATAAATAGAAAGTAATTCCTGCAGGGTCCCACGGTTCGGTCTGGCTGAGGTGGTCGCGACAAGAGACCGCAACAAGTGCAGTGATATGTGGCGGATCTCCACATCTTTCACACGTATGACCTCATATGCACACTTTGAAGTGCTTTATCGGTGGTTGTTGGTCATAGTGTTTCTTTGGAAACCTACAGTCCATACACACAAATATATCCGCTATAGTTGTATTAGTTGTTACATTCTGAAATATAGGCCTCCATTCACAAAGGGTAATTTATCATGAGGGTTAAATCCGTCTTGGATGCTGTTGCACTGTGCACTCTCACTGTGTGTTGAGAAGTAATTGGCGCATAGCTGTAGTGTTGTGTCTCACTGATCTTCAGTGTTTACGCACAAACACGCAGCCTTTCGCTCGCCACTCACTGACACATGTCTAACCCGCTCGCTCTGTTTGATTTCACCCCCGCTCCTCTCGAAGGAAGTGCAGTTTCCCCAGGAGCTGATCGACAGACTGGCCAACAGCGAAATCCACAGCATCAGCGACCTCCAGCGGCTACTGGACATTGACTCCGTAGGTAAATTCTGCCTCATGATACTTTTTTCTCTGTTTTTCAAAACTACGTGAATTTCATCAAAGAGGATTAGAAAAAAGATGAAACATTTGTAAAGTGGTTGACTTGATTTAGTTCAGGGATCCTGTCACTTGCACACATCCCACATATCAATATCAATATCAATAATCCAACTGTTTATTTCAATGAATGAATATTGTTTCAGCTGCCCCTCAGGTTTGTGTGGCTCCAGTATCATAATGACAAACAGTTACAGTTAGAAGTCGGTGGCATTGGAGTTGTTGGAGGTGCAGTACTGTACATGCAGGATGCTTGTGTCAAACCAGCTCGGATTGAGTTACAGGGATGTGTGTGCATGCTGTGAGGATAATCTGATCTTTTATTTACACAGGCTCTGGCAATATATCACACGTTTCAAAGCTTTGTTCCAAATATAATCCATAATTGTGTTAAAAGTGACTTTTTGAGTGGATTTTTGGGTTGCTTGTTATGACATTAAACTTCTAGTTAGACTTACAAGTGTGGCCAAGTTATAAATCAGATCAGTGCATTTGCAAACCCAATCACAGAAAGAATTCATATTTTTGGCAACAATAACATTGTATTTGTCCCAAGCTGGCAAACATTCCATTCTCCATGTAAGTGTTAGTTGAGACCAACAAGTTACATAATGTACCTTTACGTTGCAGCGCATACAATAGATCTAGTTATGTGTGTATGTATAACGCTTTATTCCATTTTTATAGTTTCAACTGTCTGCTTTTGGGTAATTATTTTATCGTCAATCTAAAATCACATGTCATGGTATTCAGCCAAAATTGCACTAGGCCTAGCATAGATCCCTGCTGCGCCTCAAGCACGAGAGGAGGTGTTTATAATTGAATTAACATGTCTATCTTCAAACACTGGGAATGTTTTGCAGTGTAACAGTAGTAGGCTGATTATTATTATGAGGGTGTAAATCTGTCTGAGGGCAAAGTCGGCGGGTCGGGCTCGCCTGTTAAAAGGCCTTTGACGCCGAAGGTATTTCCAGAGCTTTTGTTGCGGATGGCCAGGACAGTAAAGCGACTAGTATAGAAAAGCAGGGCAGGTAAAAGAAAAAAAAGGCAATTATAAGGGATTGTGGTGACACTATAGCTTGTGTGTGTGTGTGTGTGTGTCTGTGTGTGTGTGTGTGTGGGAGCTGGGATGACAGACGAGATGACCCCAGTGAAGTGTGCAGATGGTTGTCTGGCCCCTGGGGTGCTCCTCTTCTTGCCTTTCGTCTTCTCTGTGGCTGGCTCCCCCTTAACCCGCCCGCCTGCTCTTATCTCTCTCACTGAAGGACTTTGACAGAAAAGGGAACCTGACTCTTGGTATGGGCCAGAGAGGTGGAGGAGGGCGCTGGCTGATTCTGTGGTCCTGTTACAATTTAGTTATTATTCTTGTAGTATATTGCTTAATGTACTAATCTGTGCATACTAATATTGTATTGGTATAGAAAGGTCAAGATATTTATTGAAAAAATACATAAATTATATAGATTCCCCAGGTAAAAGTTGGATTAACAATAAAATTTAAGTTTTTTTTTCTTCTGAAAAATATTAGGTTCATATCAATATTGAGATATTTGGCATGGATATCGAGATATGCAATTTTTTCCGTATCGTTCAGCCCTATAGTGACCTGACAAGTCACTTTTATTGTTTTCAAAACAATCAAGTAAGCAATCTATGTACCTGGCATCAGCTTTTTCTTTTATGAATCTTCATACCGACATTTATCCTTGGGAATAAGGCGACCTTTGGGCCTGTACGGTTGAGATAAATACGTTTTACAACTAGATTATGCATTGTATTGTAAAGGCATCTGAATAAGAAAATAAGAACAAACACGTAAGCATTTCCCAAATCCTTTTGTTTGTTATTAAAAGCTAAACGTTTCACAGCCAAACAACAAATAGATATCTCATCATCTCATCTCAGATAGATGCTTGGTTCAGTGGCAGAAATAACAGAGTGGACAGGGTTAAAAAGCAACAGTTCAGACAGATATGACTGGACCAAACCCAAAAAGGGACAGACATTTAGTCAATGTGTGCATTTGGATGACCACTTTGTTTTGGCTTTTGGAAAAGTTGGAGTAAAGGGGACATCAGAGGTCAGTCGGTAGAAAGAGCTAGTCATCCAGTCGTCATGAAGGCCTGATTCATGAACTGTCTCCTCTGCGTTCCTCTCTTCTCCCTGTCTGACGACACCCCAGACATGTTTCTACGCTTTAGTCATCTGGACGTGAGGAAAGCCCTGAATTCAGACTTTTTTCCCCCCCTTGCTGGACTCTTACCTACATTTTCCCCACACCTTCCCTCTAATCACCCTGATTGCTGTCTCTCCTTATTTAGTGCACTCTTGGGAAAAACAACAACAACATAAAGGTCCTTTTATGATGCTGAGACAGAACAGAGGAGTCTATAAAGTCTGTCTTTATGTCGCTGTTCTTTTATCCTGTCAGCCATATAACACAAGCTGTGACTGGGTGGTCATTGGTGGACCAGTGGAGAAGATAGGTGAAGCTTAAGAGTTATTGGATATAGAGAAATAAGGCAGCTGCTTCGGCTTGGTACTGCCCACTGTAAGTTCGTAGGTGCATGTAAATGTCACTTAGGAATCGGAGACATGTGAGAATACTCTCTTTGGATATAGGATCTATCTGACTGAAAGAGTGATAGCCCTAGTTTTTTCTACACTCCTTCGAATACAGTTAACACTTCCCCTGTGCCGCCTTTGCTTTCTGGTTCATTGGTTGTCTCCGGGCTGCAGGCTACAAAGAATTTCCCCTCAACTCTCACTGAAGTAGCAAATCAAGAGCTCTGAGGCCTTCTCGGCTCGGGGAAAAAAAAAGCCATATAAATGTAAATAAACAACCTATCCCTCAGTTAAGCATGTATAGGTAGAGGAAATCCCTTCAGATGACTTTGGTCAGAGCACAAAGCACGAGAAGGGGTGGAATGTGTTTGCCTACGACCATGCTTTGTTGTGCGGTGTACATAAGGTTTTGCTATGTTATGGAGGATAATGAGAGCAGTTTGCATAGCAGCAGAGTGCAGTGTTTATGTCAAGTGCACCGGGTTGAGCCGACACATGGGTGGGTATAGCTGTACCGACAGACAAGGTAGATCCACCCACTTAGCAAACACTGGGAGACTCTGCTCTTAGGGAAAGGGCAGTGTCCTTACAGAACATGTTTATGGCTTTATCGCTGCACTGGCAATCTTTTCATGTAATATTCTGGGCGTGGACCAAAACAAGCAAGTGTTATCATGACCGTGTCTGTGTAAAAGCTGAGCTGGCTGGATTTGACTTAGGAGAGCTCTGTGCATCTAAAAAACACTTATTTCTTAGCTATTGAACTATTTCCCAAAAAGTAAACAGTCAAGTCTAAAACGAGAGCCACACAACCGCTAATTAAGCTTAGATGACGCTGGCTGGGCACCACCTGCGAAATGACCCCGCTGGTTATTAGTGCGTCTGTAAAAGGGCGAGCTGTTTTTTTTTTTTTTTTTCTTTTCTAACGGCTGACTCACCTGAATGTTCACCCAAATAAGTGAGACACACACAAAGCACGCAATTATGCTATGAACTGTTTACCTCAGCTTGTGACATCATCAGCAGTTTCTTTAACACGGGCCGCGAAAAGGCCACCATCGGATCCATTGGGAATCAAAGCATGTGTTACAACATGGGAGGAAGTGTGTGTCTCATTAGTGTAACCAACAGCAGTGTGAGTGGCTGCATAAAACATCAATAGGGGGATCATATGGTGTCTGGTGAGGCCTGGCACTCCGCCCACACAGTCATTTGAACGCAGTTACAGTCTCAGATTTATAGGTCAAATTAAATATAGTCTGTCTGCGTTTATAGCATTTGTGACATTATTAACATGGCTGCCTTCTGTTTTGGTGAGGTACGGGAAACGATGTCATCGAGGAGCCCAAGCGTCACAAGCAGCATTTCATCCATCATAAAAACCATTCCCATCCCCATGGTTACTACAACAACGACCTGAAGAGCTCGCAGCTTCACAGTCGACGCAAAAGGAGCCTCGGTGAGTATTCGGAATAAACTGTGATCATAATAACCGTATACTTCAACACCGTGACATAATGGCCTTAAAATAGCTTCTCTTCTTGAATATCCCCCACGAGATGAAACCGATCATTTCACGCTAATTTCAAGCTAGGCCAATAGTTTGCGGTTTTTGTTTAGCTTTTATGCGGATAAAAGCGACTGTAATGAAGACACCCATTCACTTTTTATAGCTCCCCCAAAACAGCCCCAAGACCTGTTGCATGAGGTTGATGAGGACGTCTGACATAAAGCTTTTTAATTGGTCCAAAGGCTTTCAGATCTTAGACACGCGTCAGGGGAGAACTATATCCTTGAGCGTGGAAATTCCAGGCATTCAAGAGTTCAAGTTGCAGCGTGTCACGGCCTCAGCAGCAGAACTCTCCATAAAACGCAGCGCCGTGTGATATCTGATTGTGGCATGTTAGAAGGCATCACTCACCATCACCACCGCTCCAATGTGTTTTGATAACGATGAAAAACACGCCGAGAACACATTATTTTTATAGGAGAACGTAAATTAGTGCAGTGATTGGAGACACTCGAGAGCTTTTAGTCTGATACCAATGTCCGCCCACTTTGGTTTTCTATATCCCCGCGGGTTAAAGGTCCATCATTAGATTTCTCACAGGCTGACATGTAGTGAAGGTTCTCTGGTCCAGTCACGCTGCATTAACTTTGCTGAAAGCTCAGAACAAAGGAGAAGTCTTTTGCGAGCTGACTAAGTTGATCCCCAAGCTACTTAGCTGATATGGAATCGACGTTTTTGCAGAGCCTCTTAGCAGCCCAGGGAGATAGGGTGTGAATTGAGGTAAGACCAAAATCTCCACATCAAGTGAGTCATCAAAAATTAATCAGTGGAGGAATGTGTGAGGGAGTGGAAAAACGCTCACCCACAGTCTATTATAAACTATGGTGTGTGTGTGTGTGTGGGTTTTGTCATCTTTTTTTCCTTGTGTTACAGTAGAGGAGGCAGTTCCGGCGGTGTGCAAGACCCGGACAGTTATCTATGAAATCCCCAGGAGCCAGGTGGACCCCACAGCGGCCAACTTCCTGATATGGCCGCCCTGTGTGGAGGTGAAGAGGTGCACGGGATGCTGCAACACCAGCAATATGCGCTGCCATCCGTCACGCAAGCACCACCGCACAGTGAAGGTACAGGATGACTCAAAACACACACGCTCTAGACAGAAGTACTGCTGATAAAACTGAAAAATATATCACCGACATCTATCTCGAATAAGGGGTGGGAAGAAGAGGTGGCTGTGAGGGGATTGGATTCATTCAAGATTGATAAGATTTTCTTTGTTTTCTCTTAGATTATCATATTTTTCTGTGATTATTGTTTGTATCTCGTGCATGTTTGAAATAAATATACAAAAGAAATGAAGAGGTGGCTGTACATCTATATAGTATGTACAACGTGGCATGTCCAAACCAAGTGCGGCCGTGTGTCATTTTATCTGGTCGTCTGCCTTGCTAACCCAAAGTAGCCTTTGAGATCGTAAGCACAAGTTCACAGCGTTGTCCAGCCAACTTCAGCTCAGTCAATATAGGCATGTGGTACATTGTTGTAAAGCTCAGAACATCTGGAATGCTGACCTTTGTTTTTGAGTGTGTCACAAAATTCTGTAAATGCTCTTGTAGCTGGTGAGATGGCCACTGGTCATTCAGCCAACTTTAGCTCTGTCGTAGCTAATTATAAAGCTCAGAGCAGCTTCAATCCAGTCAAATCAGTTTTACAATCCTGGTTGTCGGGAGTCCGGTAAACTACTTACTAAACGGTTTGCACACCACTGCTATATAGACCTCATTCTTTTTGGAGTACCCCACTTTTAGAAGCATGGTTAACCTCAAGACTTAGATTTACTTATATGTTATTTTTTTCCCCTTTTTTCACTTTTTAACCAAAAGAAAGTAATACCTCAAGATAAAATTAGAAAGCTACAATTGCATACAAGAAAGAGCCATGTCAGTCACTATTGGATGCTTTGAGCTGTATCTCTACTTTTTATACATGTTATGTTTTTTAATGTCAGTTCAAGATAGATAGTTTGATTTTAATATTTACTCTCTTCATCCAGTTTGAATAACAGTACTGTATAGGCGCTCACATGTTTCTAATCAAAATTGAATGTTGATACAAGATTAGCTGTTTATCACTGGCCTTGTGCTGTGTTCCAAAAGTCTGGAAGTCAGTCACATGATGAAGTTGTAATATTTTTGACTGACTAAATATTGGGTTGGTTTTTGCGGGGGACTGAGCGTGTAGACCTCACACACACACAGCCGTAGCTCAAGAAGGATTACTCACATTCTCAGCGTTAACAGCGTCCAGCTCTGTCAGTCTGAGCAGGTAAGTAAATCTGTCAGCCTTCTGTGTCTCATTTCCCCAGCACCTGTCTGAAAAACACCAGGAGTCAGCAGGGAAGTGCAGGCTGCAGGCAAAGGATTTCATTTAGACTTTAATTATGTTCAAAAACTTTTTCATAATCTTGTGTATTTGATATATTGTTGATTTTTTTCTATTCAAATCAGCATAGGCAGAGGTGGCAAAAGAACTAGTCTTGGGTTTATGTAAGAAAATGTACAGTATATATTCATGCAGTATACAGTAAATATTCCTGCACTAAAAGAAAACATATTAATGTGCAAGGCTTTGTATGTAATTTAGTAAAAAAAATAAATATTGCATTCCTCTTGAATAAACGACAGACATATTTACATACATCTCTGTCTTTGTTTAAATCATGTTTCATACAGGTAGAAAATATGACGACAAACAAAGCATGACACATTTAGAAGCATGGTTAACCTCAACTAATTAGATTCACTTAGAAGAATGACTAACCAGTGACAATCAGTTTTTATGCTGGGTCACCATTTCCAAAGTAATTAGGCATTTTAAAACATACAAAGTGCAGATATTTAGGAGCCAAAATAATCTTTGTAAAATTAGCTATATAAATGGTTACAGATGCAAATTTTAATAATATATTCCAGAAAAAAGTACAGTATTTAAGTAAAAAATTGCTTGTCACCTCTGATATTTAGCCTCACAGTGAAGATCTGTTTTTAAATTGGGACCACAGCCATAGCTTTACTAATTCTGAACAAATGATAGTAACTTAGTATGACGTTGGTATCAGAAAATGAAAACTTTGAACACAGTTGTATCTTTCTTTGAGCGCATGTTTTGATACAGTAGTCGTTTGGACATAGCCTGCGCTCGGTTAAGGTCAGCCTGGTCACTATGGGAACCAAAACACAACCTCATGACACCCAATAGCAACATTATTTCTGTCCACCGAGCTGCAACTCGGCCCCTCCTTGGAATGAACCCAAATAGTGGCCACCGCACCTCAGCCTCTGCCCCCCCCCCCTGCCTCTCCTTCCATTACAGCCAATCAGCACCCTCTCTCTTCATCACTCTATTCCGTTGTTGGGCTGCAGGCCAGGGCTCAAGCGGAGCTCAGGGGAGGAAGAGATTGTTGGCACCCTCGTCTGGGACATCTGCTGAGGGGTCCGACCCGGGAGAGAGGGGTGCCACTGTCCAGCCAGGCTCCTAAGTAGGACCTGAAAGAAAGTGTCTCTCTCCTCGGTCTGATTGTCTTCCTTTGCTGAGCTCAGTGACTATTCTCAGAGAGGATGGTGCCAGAAATTGATGTGCTGTTAACTCTAAGACATGTCCCCCTGCACTGTATTTACACAAGTGGCTGCCAGCGCGTGCATGGCTGTGTCTGGAACGGGGCAACTAAGTCATAAACAAGAGCGTCTGCTTCCCCTCTGAACACTTAATGGCAGTACAGGCGACTGCTGTTAGTGCAGGATTGGATCTAGCTTCCTGTTCTTTCTGTTTTATACAAGGGCACTCCGTATTAACTGTTGTACTTGTGCTGTTGTTTATTGCAAATGCTTGTCTTGATGCTAAATTGTATATTTTATCCTGGCACTAGAAGCCAATTGAAGTCAATATGACCTTAGTGCAAGCATAAAATAGCTTGGAAACAATGAAGACAGGGATGTTTTGCTTTGGCCTCAAGCAGAAAATACCACATGCCCTAAGAAACGTGCTTATGGACAACCAGCAGTAATAAACCGGCTATCTCCTCTATCACCTGCTGCATATAAAAAGAGCCCTTTGGATCAGACTTTTTCTATGTCCAGGTTATAAGTAGTGACAGAGCCTGACAGCACGGCGAGACAAGACTGATTTATATCACTTCAAACTTGACTGCTTACAAACTGTCTACCACTGCCATCAATAAGACCTCTGTCACTTCTCGAGCGCAGATGGAGACAGTAAACCCAGATCCAACTATTCCTGGAATGCCACAGTTTCATGTGACTCATCAGTGTCCCCCTTCTCTTTATGATGCTGGGAGGGCACGATGCACAGACGTGACATGGACCCTGAGGCGTCCCGGGATGGGCTGGGCTTGAGTGAGTGAGTTAGCGAGGGGAGGGAGGGTTATTTGGAGGGTGTTGTGTCTTGTCCATGTGCTTGTACCCACGGGCCAAGGGGCAGAATCTTTTGAATAAGGGTCATCTGTTTGCGAAGGCTTTGCTCGGGTCAAACATTGTGAGACCGAAACATTGTGTCATGCCAAGTGTTCCTGTGAGGACCCAGACTGAATAGAGCTCCAGTTTGCACTACTGTTTATTAAAAGGCTAAAAATGTCACTGCTTTGCCCCGAGACGGTCTTGTTTTGCTTGTGCTGGCCTAGGGATGGGAAAAGAACACTTTTGGTTGTGTGTCTTTCCAGCTCATGCCTCTGTGCATTTGTCCACATACAGCATCATTCATTTATTTCACTTTTTTCCCCGGTTCTTTCCTTCATTTTCTCGCTGCAGACTTAAATGAGACAAGTTGGCGCGGGTTGATTCACTGTAGTAGCCTGCCCTGTTCAGTGGCAGGGCAATAAAATGGCAACTCAAAGTAGGACTTGCCCCAGGGAGTCGCAGGGCATATCTCTGAAGCCAATCTCTCTCGTTCTTTTGTTTCTTTCACTTACTCTATGTCCTGCTGTGTGTTTTTTTTTATGCACAGCCTCTTTGTGGGAATGTAGGTTAAGGGAGAAGTTTGCGAGACAAACACACGGGGTTAAATTGGTTGATAAAATATTGTTGTCAGAAATCTGTAAACAGATTAGACCAGATGATTGAATTCTGGGACTCTCTCATCACAGCATTCCTTTGGCTCCTCCCCCCACCGTCCCGAGTGCCCCTACACCTCCCACGCGCACACACACACACATATGCACGCACACAAACACACACACAGCACCTCCACTTGCACTCTGCGTGACTCCTAATCCACTCCCCAGATCACAGCATCCCAGCGCTCCCCTCTCCATCAAAATACTTCCCTGACATTTCTTCTCATTACGATATTAAAAAATGCGCCTTTTTATCGCACACGTCTGGCAGAACTCTTTGAGCGCTTACAGGGTGAAGCTAACGTCAATGGAGGCATGTAGCTATACTCCCCAAAGACCCCCGAGATACAAACCTGTTGCATTCACTAAGTATTGTTATTTTCCATTCATACATGTTGAAACTAAAGCTGAAGTATTTGCTCTTCTAATGGGGCTGAGTAAACGCGCCGTGGCACACAACTCAAAGAATGGACCTGTCATTTACCCTCATACTCATTAAGCCATTAATGTTTCCGCAATCCAGTGAATTGGCAAAGAGAACCAACAATAATGAGATTTTCTTGCTGTAATTTAAAAAAAAAAACGTGTCAACTCAAAACACATAACTATTAGTTTGAATCCAATTTTTTTTTTAAAGTCTTGCAGAAAGTGAAAAATACACATTGCTTTAGTCATATTTTCAATGCAATAGTGTGCACTTTGGAAATGATCACAATTGAAGGACAATTTAAAAACGTTGTGAGTGTTTTATATTATGGTGCTTACTGCGGATTACAGTACATGCATGTTTCAATGTAGGTTTAAAGTCATACAAAGAACATTTTCAAAACTACTTAAAGCTGAGGTACTGCAGGCTCCTCTCACATATTTGGACGGAAAACTTAAAAAGAGAGCACCGCCCTCACTCAGCCAATCAGCTCTCAGCCCAAATGATCCAATAGCGACTCACATGGCTCTTTCTTGAGAAGATGAAGATGGAATGTTGTGGACTGATTT